TGGCATCACAGCTCACAGCAACCTCCAGCTCTTGGGCTTAGGGATTCTCTTGCCTCAGCCTCCCAAGTAGCTGGGACTACAGGCGCCTGCCACATCACCCGGCTATTTTTTTGTTGCAGTTTGGCCAGGGCTGGGTTTGAACCCACCACCCTCGATATATGGGGCCAGCGCCCTATTCACTGAGCCAGAGGCACTGCCCGCTGTCAACTATTTTATAAAGATAAATGTGTTTTCCCATTTGGAGGGCTTATTGTCTTAAGATAAATTTTCTAGGTGTTCCTAAATTCCTGGGTTAGAGCATGTGGACATTACTTTATAAAAGCATTAGCTGGGCTCACACCTATAATCCTAGCACTCCGGGAGGCTGAGGTGAGTGGATTGCTCAAGCTCAGAAATTCCAGATCAGCCTGAGTAACAGTGAGACCCCATCTCTAAAAAACAACTGGCATGGTAGTGGACACCTGTAGTCTCAGCTACTTGGGAGGCTGAGGCAAGAAGATCACTTGAGCCCAAGAGTTTGAGATTGCTGCAATCTATGACATCACTCTACCAAGGGTGACAAAGTGAGACTGTCTCAAAAAAATTAAAAAAGTATTGTGCAACTTTCATACTATCACTAGCTTTATATGTGGTTCCATATATATTTGCCAGTACTATTACCATTGCTTTCTACTTCTGCCAATTTTTGTATATATATTCTTTAGCCATCTCCTAAGTATATATATTTTTCTAACAAAATGATCATTTTTGCTTATTGAAGAGATGAAAGTACTACCTCATAATTTTGTTTTAGATTTCTCTGATCATTTTGGTACCATGTTGTGTATGACTTGATTGTGTCTCTTCTATCTGTGTCCATTTTATTCAATGGTGTTTCTCAGTGCCTCATATTTTAGCAAGATACACAGATAAGCTTTACAGCAGCAGTTCTTAGACAGAAGTTTGTATCTACAGCTTTCAAATCCCATGTATGGGCTCGGCGCCTATAGCTCAACCGGCTAAGACACCAGCCACGTACACCTAAGGTGGCGGGTTCGAATCCCCAGCCCGACCCGCCAGACAACAATGA